CCCCCTCTTTCCTCGCGCGCGGCGTGTTTACAAGCAAACTAGGCTTCTGCAACAGGTTTTTTTGATGAGGTTTGGACTGTCATCGGTTTGTCCCCGTTCTTTTGGTTCCCCTTTCATCGGCCCCCACAGACGTTCTTCCTTCTTTTCTTTCATGTCTTTCTGTCTTCATGTCTCCTCATCCTCATCCTTTCTTTCTCTTGCGCGTACTATCGTCCGGACCTTAGTTTGCACACATACACGCACGCGTACTCTACTTACAACGGGGTTTAGGTGGCCCAGGTTTGTTACAATGAGGTTTGGTTCATCGGTTGTCCCTCTTCACGTGGTCTTTCTTCATCGGCAACCACACACACCTTTGTCTGTTTCGGTCTTTTCATTTTCATCCGTCCCTTTTGCGTGCACATGTGCCTTGCCTCCTTTCCGGGCAGGATGGAGGCCACACATGCCTCCCTTCGGGGAGGCGTGCGTGTGTACCCCTTGGAATCAAACAAAACCTATAGGTTTGGAACAGGGGCGTACGGCTCGTCATACCCACCGTACGCAATGAAGCTACGGTAAAACGAGGGATGGGTGGACTGATCATCCACCTGTGCCTGTTCCACTATTTAGGAAAACACGAGGAAATGGTACTCGACACACTTGTGTGTCGGCGCCTTTCCTTCTGTTTTCCTCTAGACTACTCTACAGGTTTGCAGGTAGGCCTCCCAACTTTGTAAGGGGTTCTCTAACCTGAACTTTGGCCTCCACCCACTAGATTGGCCCCCAACCTTGCTGTCTTTTGCTTCTTGTGCTTTTGTGCTTCTTGTAACCTTGTAGCACTGGCCTCCAACTTGGCACCCTGGCCTCCACCCACTAGCGAGGACCTCCAACCTTGGCTGTCTTGTGTGATTTCTTGCGGTTTTGTAACCTGGTAGCACTGGCCTCCAACTTGGTACCCTGGCCTCCAACCTACTAGCGATGACCTCCAACTTTGCTTCTTGCTGTCACTTTGTGTCTATGGTCCACCGCCTACTAGCGATGGCCTCCAACCTTAGGTCTTGGCCCTCAACAGCCCTGCGTTGACCTCCAACCCAAAACCGATGGCCTTTAACCTACTATTTCCTGACATCTCGGGCCTTCTAAATAACTTAGGCTGGCGTGTGGCACCGCTGTCAAGTCAGTACGCATATCCATAAGTGTGTGTTGGACGTAAATTTGCTGTTCCCCTGTTGCAAACCTTTCTACTAATTTCAAGCCAAGTCAAACAACGCCCAGGCCGACACACCCCGTCGTTGTCCTTTTACTTTCGAGCCTGATTTCAGCGCATCGTATTTGAAATAGCCTTGGGCATAAAGTGGAGTGTTCCTTAAGAGAACGGCGAGGATATATAACTAAATCAGGCATGTTGGCATATGAACTGGAGTTCAGGGCAGTGGCAAGTTGCTGTACAACAGGTCTTATTGTAGAGATCCGTAAGATCATCTGTATGATGTGGACCATATGCAGCTTGGCAACTGGGCAATGATCTTGATGGTATTCTTGTTAGCACCGACTGTGCCATCCTTAGCTTCTCACAGTGGTCACATGTTGCAACATCTGTATTCTCCCTCAGTTGGCCGCCTTGTACTTGTGAATATGTAAGGGTATATATTCTCGGACTTCGCACCCTTTGCCCAGGATGACCCACTCAATTGCATTTGTTTTGATACTACAAAGTATGTGTGTTTGCAGCTGAAAAATTGTGACCATGACGCAATTGGCACAAAGTCCAACGGTTGCCAATGGCATTCGGTCCATCAGTCATATTGAAATGTTAAAACCGACAGCCACAGGCCCAAAAAACCACAGCCGAAAGCAAAGACATGTCATTTTGGCTCACTCAGGTCATCTACAATCCCCCTGAACCCAATCAATCGCTGCTTCCAGGTCAATGAGTCAATACGGATACTGCATTGCATGCTGAGTGACGCTGCCAAAGCCCCAAAAAATGCACTGCTTCGTGGTCTCAGGCACAGTCTCTAAGCGACCGAATGGTAGTGAGTAATGCGTGACGTCCTTGGCCAAAACCGAACAAGTTCCATGAAACTGATTTGACATGCTACATGCTCATCGTCCAAGCCGCATCATCCAAGCCCACAGTGAAAGGATGCTTTGGGTTCCTACAAATTTTAATGGCAAAGTGTAGAAATCGCTATTTCTGTGACCAGGTCTTGCATAGGACTCTGAATTCACTCAGAGCTACCAATTTTTACAAATTCATTCAAAGGGCATGAAAATTGACATCAAAAATGTAAATTCAACAAGTTCAACATCATAACAAACAAAATTTGTCAAGATTTTGAGTTGTTCCCAAACTTCACATAGGCCTGGATCTCAGATTCTGATAGATGGCATCCACCATGCCTGGAGTGAAGTCTTTGCTTGACAAGCCTCAGACAAAATTCAGATGCACGGCTTAGCTTTAAGCAGGGTGGTGTTAAACTTCATACTCTATACTTCTGCAGCGTTTGCATCAATCGAAATGAACAACATAATCTTCGTTTGCAGCGGACTTGTGGATTTCTCACAAAATGTTTGACTCAGTGTTGTTTGCGTCATTCGCGCCACAAAGTTGCCTGCACTGAGAGGCACTTCCAGGTCAACAATTCAAGGATCCTTCCACTGACCCTATTTTTTGGCCATCCCGATTTCAGGGACCCCCTATTTAAAAAATGCGACCGAATTTTTTCTTAATAGGGGGGGCCGTGTGTTTAATAGTTGGACAGGATTAACTCATGGAAACTCACGCAAAATCTATTCGTCAAGTTTTTCCAGAAAGTCGCCAAGCTACCATAACGGCCGTTGATGACATTTGCTGTGCACTTGGCCTTCTGCAGTGATGTGCCTGACAAAGTTGGCGCAGGGAAGCGCTGGGCACTACGACTTCACGCTGAACCCGAGCCCCTGACAAACATCCAAGTAAAGAGGTTCGCCATGCGCAGC